TCTTGCTAAACTGCTGAGGTTGGCCTTGAACTTGGGATCCTGCTGCCTAAGCCACCCAAGCCACAGGTATTGTGCTAAGTATTTTCTGAATATTAACTAATATATCTTTACCACAACATGATCCTGCATAAGCAATCCAGTGTAAGCAACACCAGGCAGCGGTACCAGAGATCGAACCCAGGGACACTTAAGCACCCAACCACATTCCTAGCACTTATTTTTTAATTTATATTTTGAGTCAGGGTCTCACTAAGTGGCTTAGGTCCTCACTGAGTTGCCAAGGCTGGCTTTGAACCCACCATCCTCCCGAGCTCCTCAGATTCCAGGCATGCAGCACCACACCCGGGTCAGCCTGATAATTCTTGAATGTGACCAGCACTACTCAAAGTTTTACACCTGGACTCTGTCATAGATTCGATACTGAAAATGGGCAGCATTTAGACTTCCTGAAGGGACTCAAAGGGTTTCCCACAGAGTGTGCCTCTTGACCCAGAATGCTTTGCAAACCAGGCCCAAGATGCCGCTGCAGCATTTCTGGGAGCTTGGCTTTGCTGCAGTTTCCCTGTGGGAACTCTGAGCAAGCCACCCGCTAGCGGGTCAGGTCAAGTGAATTCCTCTCTCGTGCCGCATGGTGAATTACAGATGGCACCGTGGTCCTGAGGTATTCTCCTGATGTTCACACAGGGGGACCTGTGGTTAGAATGAGCTCTCATCCTCTACAAAGTCCCTTCTGGAAGGCCATTTGTAGTTCATTTGTGGTTAGTCATCTAAGAGGCCAATCAGGCCCCCATTCTGCACAAGCCCCAGGTTGGCACAATTCTCCACACAGCCTTTCTTTGTGGTCCCGCCCCATTACTTCGCGCCTAACTAGCTCCGCCCATCACAACTGGCGGCAAACATACAGCCAATAGCAATCCTCAAAAGAGTAGCGCGTGCGCGTTGAACGTGCCGTAAACCCGTGGCCAATACAAATCTCTAGGACTAGCTCCACCCTGAGTCACGGCTCTTTGCCAGCCAAACCACTCTTGGGGGCGCCACGCGGTGTCTGGGCTTCACAGTCATGGCACACTGGTGCCAGTATTGCGATCCCAACTACTATGGTCTGGGGATGTATGATATAGAGATAGCAGCTGAAGCAGAGGAAGGGATAGCAGCCGCAGCCGCAGAAGAAGAAGCTGCAGGTGGCCACTTCCGTGAAGGAGCTATAGGCCTCATGGAAGACGTGATTCAAGAGGGTAACCTCAACCTCGAGGGCGCTGTGAACCAGGCAGATGAGGTTGACCAGGAGGCCGATGGTAATAACCAGGGGCTTGAGCAGGAGCAACAGCCTGGGCAGCATGCAAATGTGGCTGCTGCGGGTCCACACCCCCGTCGCAGGCGTTCACGAATCCAATACAAGTTCTCGCAGTCACAGGTGCAGGAACTAGAGAATGTTTTCCAAGAAACTCAATACCCTGATATGGCCACCAGGTAGGTGACTGGCTTGGGAGACTCTCAAGTCTCCAGGGGTTCAGGTTCTTTTGGGGTTGCTTTTCTCTGTCCTGGCCCACTTCCTGACCAGCCTGTCTTGAGCAGGTCTTCACCTGCCCTTCTGGTCTGTGGGGGTTGCCTAGTGGGAACCAGGTCAACGTTTTATTGTAGTATTAACATAAATTAAGTCTGGAAATTGGTTGGTGGCTGCTCATTTTGTTTTTTCTTTTCAAATTGGACAAAATACAAAAACAAATTTAGCATCTAAACCACTTTTGAAGTTGGCCTTCAGCAGCCTTAAGTATTTGCACATTGTTATGGGACAGAACTCCAGAAACATCCAAATGTGGACAAAATGAAACTCTGTACCGTTAAACACCTCCCCTCCCCAGCACCCTGTAACTACCATTCTTTTTTATTCTATGAATTTGATTCCTCTGGGCACCTCATATAAGTGAAATCATGTAGCATTTGTCTCTTAGTGATTGCCTTATATCTTTTTGTATAATGTCCTTAAGGTTTAATCATGTTGTAGCATGTGTTGGAATTTCCTTCCTTTTTAAGGCTGAGTAATATTCCATTATATGGATGTATTCTTATTTTCCTTTTTTTTTTTTTTTTGGTACCAGGGATTGAACCTAGGGGTACTTAGCTGCTGAGCCATATATCCTCTCCTTTTTATTTATTTTGAGACTGGGTCTCAATAGATTACTTATAGCCTCACTTAGTTGCTAAGGGTATCTTTGAACTCACAATTTTCCTGCCTCAGTTTACTGAGCCACTAACATTACAGGTGTGCACCACTAGGCCCAGCTTATATTCCATTTGTTTAAGCGTTCATGTGGAGAAATAAATGGGGTGCTTTTGCACATGGCTCTTTTGAATAGGGCTGCTGTGAACGTAGGTGGACAAATGTCTCAAGTCCACATTTTCATTTCTTTGGGGTGTATACCAAGAAATGTTTTTTCTAGATCCCAATTAAAATTCTGTGTTTAATGTTTTTATACTTTTATGTATATATCATAATGATACATAATAGTTTGCTTTTGACATAATCATACATGCATGAAATTTAATTTGCTTCATTTAAATTCCCAGTGCCCTCTTTTTAGCACCCCTGTTCCCTCCCTCTGTTAATGATTTTTTTAAAAAACAATTTTTTTGTAGCTTTTCTTTATTTATTTTTATGCAGTGCTAAGGATTGTACCCAGTGCCTCACACATGCTAGACAAGCGCTTTGCCACTGTTACAACCCCAGCCCCTATGTTAATGTTTTTGAGTATTTTTTAATCTTTTATTTTTTTATGAGGTACTGAGGATCAAACACAGTGCCTCATGCATGCTAGGCGGTGAGCACTCCACCACTGAGCCACAACCCTAGCCCTTTATGTTAATGTTTTCCGGAACCACCAGACTCCTTTTTCATAGTCACTTCATAATTTGACATTTCCACCAACAGTCCATGAGATTTCCAATTTCTTTGCAGGTCCTCACCAACTGAAGTTATTTTCTGTTTTTTTTTTTTCTTTTTAATATTGTTTTAGTTGTAGATGGACACAATATCTTTATTTTTATTTGTTTTCATGTGGTGCTGAGGATTAAGCCTAGTACCTCACACTTTCAAATAAAGTGCTCTACCACTGAGCCACAACTCCAGCTCTTTCTGGGTTTTGATATTAGGCATCCTAATTAATGTGAGATAATATCACTGTGGTTTTGATTTGTGTTTTCCTAGTGATTGGTGGTATTGAGCATCTTTTCATGGGCTTCATGGTCATTTACATATCTTCTTTGGAGAAATACTTCAGTAAACCCTTTACCCATTTTTAAATCTGGGAGGGGTTTTTTGATTATGGAACTATCACCTGTTTCTAAAAGTTACCCTCATCAGATATTATAGTTTGCAAATATTTTCTTCCATTCTGTGGTTGCCTTTTCACTCTCTTGGTTGTGTCGTTTGATTCACAGCCAATTTTATTTTTTTACATAGTCCACTTTATCTATGTGTCTTTTGTTGGCTGTTTGGTGGCCTGCTTTTATAAATGAAGTCTTTTTTTAATATCTTTATTTTATCTTTATGTGGTGTTGAGGATCGAACCCAGTGCCTGGCGCATGCCAGGTGAGTGTGCTACCACTTGAGCCATATCCCCAGCCCATAAATGAAGTCTTATTGAAATAAGGATTAGGAGAATAAAGTCCTGTCATGCAGCTGCATTCCTATAGCATTCTTGTATAGATAATTTGTATAACATGTTTATTATAGATTTTGTAGTCACTTTTATTCTTTAACACAGTGGGTTAAAATTATGTGACTTGACCACCGAGCTTTTAGTGTCACCTTAAATTTTGTGATGAGGTAAACCCATTTCTTTTCTTTCTTTCTTTTTTTTTAGGTGTAGAGGAACACAATACCTTTATTTTATTTTAGGTGATGCTGAGGATCAAACCCAGTGCCTCACACATGCTAGGCAAGCACTCTACCACTGAGCCACAACACTAGCCAAAGATTATAATGCACATATTGTATTTTATCCACAACACTGAATACCGAACATCTATTGTTTTCTCTCTACAGAAGAGAACTTGCAAGATGCATGAATGTGAGTGAAGCCAGAGTGCAGGTCAGTAAATCTGAGAAAAGCAATTTGTGAGGGCAGTCATTCTAAAACCTGCTTCATGATGTGCACAGCTCTGACCTAGACATTTTTGTTAATTTTTAAAATATTTTTATTAGTGCATTATAATTATATGAGTAGGATTCATTTTGACATAACCAAACATGCAGATATTTTAAGTTGGTGTTATTTTAATTGTCTTTTGAAGTAGACTAATTTTGAAACTTTGGAGTTTGGATGAAAAATAGAATGATAAATGTGATCTTGTAGTAATTTCCCATTACCACAGGGAATGTTATTTCCTAATGGACAAAAAATTAAACCAAAAAACTACTTCTGCATTTCTGAGTACAAAATTAAATATATAAACTTTAAAAATATATAATTACATATATAATAATATGTATAGGTATATATTTTAAAATAAAGTTCAGCTTTAACCCCAGGTATCTGTAAGATAGCATTTCTGTGAAGAGTAAGAATGGGCCTGGTCTGACCTTAGAAGTACTCAAATTTATGGTGAAAGGTCTGGAATTAAGAGAGGGAGGGAAGAGAATTAAGAGACTTATAGTAAATTATTTGAACCAAGTATAAGCACTGAGTTTGCTGAATGGATGTATAAATGCTGTGGTGAGAGTAATTCATTGAAAGCACACACTCTGTAAGAAGCATAGGTTAAGCTGAAACTGATGTGGGAAGCTACCTGAAAAGCAAAAGTGCCTAGTCCTCCTACTTGTGTTTGTACATATCGTTAAAGTAACAGAAAGTGGCAGCCCTCAATTTTAATTTTCTTGTATACTGTGACATATCTACCTAAAAACATTGCCAAAATGGTAATATTATGGTTACAAGAGGGCAAAGGTTTGCAAAAGTTGGGAAATTTGTCCAAAGAATGATCCAACAGGGGCTGAGTTTGTAGCTCAGTGGTAGAGCACTTGGCTCGCATATGGAAGGCACTGGGTTCGATCCTCAGCACCACATAAAAATAAAATAAAGGTATCATGTCCATTTACAACTAAAAAAATATTTTAAAAAGAGTGACCCAACAAAAAGAATACTGAATTAATTTCACTTTATGTTTATGTAGACTTGAGGGATGGGACCTTTTGGATCCCACT